TGTTGAAAAGTAAAAGCATGGGAAAAGATATAGCATGCAAACATTAAACAAAGGAAAGCAGGAGTAGCAATATGAATAACAGATAAAGCACACTTTAGAAGAAAAAAAAATTACCAGAGAAGGACATTATGTAGTAATAAAAGGGTCAATCCGCCAAGAAGAGATAGCAACCTTAAATATGTATCCACCAAACAAGAGAGCTACAAAATGTGTGAATCAAAAGCTAATAGAACTGAGAGAAGGAATAAACAGATATATAATTATAGTTTCAGACTTCAACATCCCTCTCTCTGTCAGAACAACTAGACAGAAAATCAGCAAAGACGAAGGACTCAACAATACCATGAAACAACAGTGTCTAATCAACATTTATAGAACATTCCATACAAATACAGCAGAACACACATTTTTTTCAATTGCCCACAGAATATACACCTAGATATACATATCCTAAGCCATATAACAAACTACAGCCAATTTAAAGTAATTGAAATCGTACAGAGTAATTGAAATCCAACCACAATGGAATCAAATTAGAAATCAGTAACATAAGAGAACAGGAGAATCTACAAACACTTAGAAACTAAACGAAACACTTCTAAATAATCCATGAGTCAAAGAATCAAAGGAAATTAAAAAATAATTGAACTGAATGAAAATACATTCAAAATTTGTGGGACACAGCTAAAGCGGAGCTGACTAAATTTTATAGCACTGAATGCATACATTTGAAAAGTTTTAAATCAATAATCTAAGTTCCACTTCAAGAATCTTGAAAAGGAAGAGCAAAATGCACCCAAAGCCAAAAGAAGGAAGGAAATAAGAGCAGAAATCAATGAAACTGTAAACAGAAAAACAATAAAGAAAATTAACCAAAGAGCTGGTTTATTGAAAAGAACAATAAAATTTCCATCTTCTAGCAAAGAGTCTGTTGACAAAGAAGAAGAGAAGATACAAATTACTAATATCGCGAATGAAAACGGGATATCACTAAACACTCTGCAGACATGGAAAAGATAATAAGGAAATACTACAAACAACTCTACACACAAATTTGACAATTTAGATAAAACACAATTCCTCAAAAAACACAAGCTACCGTAACTTGACATAAAATAAATAATTTGAATAGCCCTATAACTATTTTAAAAATTTAGTTTGTAATTTTAAAACTCCCAAAAATGAAATCTCCAGGTTACACTGGAGACTTCTACCAAATGTTTAAAGAATTAACACCAATTCTGCACAATCTCTTCTGGCAAGTAAAAGAGGAGGGAACTTCCAAATTCATTTTACAAAGCCAGTTGTCTTAGTTCAGGTTGCTACAACAAAATACCTTAGTCTGGATAATTTATAAATAATATAAATTTATTTCTCACACTTCTGGAGGCTGGTAAGTCCAAGGTCAAGGCACCAGCAGATTCTGTGTCTTGTAGGGGCTAGCTCTTTGCTTCCAAGATGGTGCCTTCTTGCTGTGTCCTCATGATGGAAGGACAAAAAAGGGTTGAACTGGCTCCCTCATCCATGAGGGGGAGTCCTTATGGCCTAATCACCTCCTGAACACCCCACCTCTTAATGCTGTTGCATTCAGGATTAAGTTTTAACATGAATCTTGAAGGGACACAAACATTCAAACCATAGCACCAGTATTACACTAATACTAAAACTAAAAAAAAGACGGTACAAAAAAAAAATACCAATATCTCTGTATTAGTCCATTTTGTGTTGCTATAACAGAAATACTGAGACTGGGTAATTTATAAAGAACGGGTTTATTTGGCTTACGATTCTGGGACAGCTGCATCTGGCAGGGGCCTCAGGCTGCTTCTACTCATGGCAGAAAGCAGCAGGCAGCCGGTGGGTACAAGCAGATCACATGGTGAGAGGAAGCAAGAGAGAGAGGGAAAGTGCCAGGGTCTTTTAAACAACCAGCTCTCATGGGAACTAATAGAGCGAGAACTCACTCATTAATTCCCTCTCCCCCAGGGAGAGCATTAATCCATTCATGAGGGATCCACCCCCATGACTCAATCAGTTTCCAGCACTGCCACACTGGAGATCAAATTTCCACATGAGTTTTGGAGGGGACAGCACATCCAAGCTCTATCAATCTCTTATGAATGTAGATATAAAAATCCTTTACAAAATATTAACAAATAGAATTCAGCAATATATAAAAACAATTATACATTATGACCAAGTGGGTTTATTCCAGGAGGCAAAGCTGTTCAATATTTGAAAATCAGGGCCGGCCCAGTGGCGCACTGGAGAGTGTGCCGCTTAGGAGCGTGGCGGCGCTCCCACCGAGGGTTCGGATCCTATGTGGAGACCAGTTCCCGCTCACTGGCTGAGCGTGGTGCGGGCGCAACACCAAGGGTTGCGATCCCGTTGCCGGTCCCCAGTACGGGCGCAACACCGAGGGTTGCAATCCCATTACCGGTCAGTAAAAAAGACAAAAAGGAAAAAAAAAATATTTGAAAATCAATCAATATAATCCACTATATGAATTAACCAAAGGATAAAAATTACCTAATTATATCAATCACTGCAGGAAAAACATCTGACAAATTTCTATAGCCATTCATGGTAAAAAGAAAAAAAGAGAGAGAGAAAGAGAAAGAAAGAAAGAACCTGAAAATAGCAATAGAGAGAAATTTATCACTTGAAAAATTGCATCCACAAAAAACCTTCTGCTGACATATTGCTTAATGGTAAAAAAGAAGGAATGCTTTCCTGCTAAGATCAGTAACAAGGCAAGGATGTCTACTCTTCCCTACACTTAGTCAACACAGAGATGGAAGATCTAGTCAGTGCAATAAGGGAGGAAAAGGAACTAACATACTGATCAGAAAGGAAAAATTAACACTGTCCCTATTTGCAGATGATGATGTAAAAAAAATCCCAAGGAATCTACAAAAACTCCTAGAACTAAGAAGTGAGTTCAGCAAGGTCACAGAAGACAAGATAAACACGCAAAATCAATTGTATTTCTATATACTCTCAATGAACATGTGGACTCTGAAATTAAAAACAATACCACTTACAATCACTCAAAAAATGAGATATTTAGGTGTAAATCTAAAAAAATGTACAGGACTTGTATGCTAAAAACTACACAAGGCTGATGAAAGAAATCAAAGATCTAAATAAATGGAGAGACATGACATTCACAAATTGGAAGACTCAACACAACAAATGTCAGTTCTCCTCCCCAAATTTAAGTACAGGTTTAATGCAATTCCTATCAAAATTCCAGCAAGATTTTTGTAAGATATAGACAAGATTATTCTAAAATGTATATGGAAATGCAAAGGAACTAGAATAGCTAAAACAATTTTGAAAAAGAAGAATAAAGTGGGAGAAATCCGTCTACCTGGTATTAAGGCTTATATTATATATCTACAGTAATTAAGACAGTGTGGTTCTGGGACACGGATAGATGCACGGATGAATGGAACAGAACAGAGAACCCGGAAATAGACTCACACCAATATGACCAGGTGATTTTTGACGAAAGTGGGAGAGCAATTGAGTGGAGGAAAGACGGCCTTTCAACAATTGCTGCTGGAGCAGCTGGACATCCATAGTCCAAAAAATGAGCCTCCACTTAAGTCTCACACCATCTACAAAAATTAACTCAAAATCGATCACAGACTTAAATGTAAAATGTAAAACTACAGAAATTTAAGGAGAAAATCTTCAGGCTATTGGTCTAGACAAAGAGTTTCCTATAAAACTCACCAATTGCACTCTCAGGCATTTACTTATTCTAGAGAAATGAATACTCATGTTCACACAGAAACAGGAACCTATACACTAATGTCTATAGCAGCTTTATTTGTTATAGCCAAAAACTAGAAACAACCCAGATGTCCTTCAGTAGGTGAGTGGTTAAGCAAACGAGCAAACATCCATACCTGCAATTCAGACATGAAAAGTTACAAACTATCACACGTGCTGCAGCCTGGATGAATCTCAGAGTGTTACAATGAGTGAAAAAAAGCCCATCCCAAAGGTTATATACTATATGACTCCATTTATATAATATTCTTGAAATGATACAAATATAAAAATGGGGAACAGATTAGTGGTTGCCAGGGGTTAAGAAAAGGGTGGGGAATGGCAGGTGAGTTGGGTGCAGCTACAAAAGGGAGCGCAGGGGATCTTTTGGTGGTGATGGAAATATTCTGTATCTTAACTGTCAGTGTCAGTATCTTGGTTGTGATATATACTATGCTATCCTATGCTATGCTATACTAATACTACACTATAGTTTTGCAAGTGATTACTGTTGGGGGAAACTGGGTAAGGGTCCAAAGGATCTCCGTGTATTATTTCTTACAACTGCATGTGAATCTGCAATTATCTCCAAGCAAAAAGTTTAATTTAAAAACAAAAGGCAGGTAAGTCTCTAGGCTAGAACGGGTTATTATCATCAATCATAATTGCATAATTTTACTTCCTTTTCTGCCTAGGTCTTTATTTGGCTTCTTATGAAAGTGAGAGTCCAGAGAATCAAACAGAAAAAGAGAGGTGGAAATCGCTAAGGTGAGGCTTCGTGCCAAGATGGGGTCTGGGACTGGAGTGGAGGAACAGGGTTGGGGCTGCTTGGTGCCAGGACAGGGCAGAGGGGTTTCAAAGATACCCAAATCATCTGCCAGCCCATGGGGAGGGGGCAGGATCAGACCAAAGTCATGAGGTTGGGGGACAGAACTCAAGAGCTGTGGTACGGAGAGGAGGCTGGGCCCACGACCCTCTGTGGCTGGTGGCTGCCTCTGTGGGTGGTCAAGATGCATGTCCCAGGGCCAGGAACTCCCAGTCCATATTTTCGTGTCAGACAGTGAGACACCCCATCCCCTGCTCTCTTGGCATATTAACGCAGTGAGTGGAGGTCGGAAATGATTCACACCAATGGGCTCTGAGGACCCAGCCAAAAGGATTTGCCAAACACCCCACTAGGATGGGCAGGCGGCCTCCTCCCAGGGTGCTGAGCAGGGGAGTCCCATACTGGAGACAACGGTTCTAACTGCAGGGCCGGGAGGGTGGGCTCTCGCCACTCTCCGGTGTGTTTCAATCTGCAGATCTTCTATTTTGGGGAAGACATGAGAAGCGCTGGGCTGAAGGAGGAGGAAGAGATGGAGCCAGCAGAAGCCTTTGGCAGCCCTGCCTCCGACGGCCCAGTGGGCGGAGATGGAGGCAGCACCTCACTACTTTGCAAACCGCAACCCCATAGCCTGGAGCCTGCCACCACTTCAGCCCTCGGAGGGCCTAAGGATGCCAGACATGTGGGTGGCACATGCCTTGGGGACACCCCACCTTCAGGACCATGGGGGTCACATTGCTGGTCAGTCAGTCCTTTCTCAGCAAGGATACAGCACTGTCCCAGAGGGCTGGGCAACTGCAATCTCTTGGTCTCGCTGAGTGACACGTGCCACAGAGGCCAGCACCCACAGTCTGTCACGAGGTACCTTGGGAGCCCACAACTGCAGCAGGCATCATCGTGTGACATGAAACATGCCTGCACCAGCTCCGAGCCACCAGTGGCCCTGCCATTTGGCTGATGCACCAGACCCTGTCTCCCTACACACATAAACAAGGGGCTTGTTTCTGCAGCCCTGTGCACCCTCATCTTCCTGGATTCTGCTGGGGTCAGAGGAGAACTTTCTGTTGACTGCTGTGAAACGGCAGCAGGATGAACTGGAGTCTCAGAGTCAGCAATGTGTACATTATTGTCCTGCTGCCTAGCTCCCTTGTAAACTGTAGAGCTGGTATAAACACACCTTTGTACATCCTGATATCCATGTCCACACCGCGTCTCTGACCCACAGGCCTGAGAAGAGATTCGGCCAGGATCCAGGGTGTTGTAGCCATGGTTCAGGATTGGGACCTGGTGTCCATTTGTGATCCATAGACCCCATGTTGTGCTGACAGAGCCTGGTGCATAGTAGGTGTTCAGTAAACCTATGGTGAAGGGATACTGATAGCCCTGCCTGCAGCCAGATGCGTTTTGTGCAGAGTGGGGGATGATGAAGCCAATGAGGCACCCTCAGCCCACCTTGACGCTCCTCCCATGGCCCTTACCCACTCTCCTGTGTTTCCAGCCCCTCACATACTAAGCCAAGTTTCTTTTTTTTTTTTTTTTT